ATTCCCTCATCAAGAACCCAATGTTCCTTGCTCAAGGAAAATTCCTGCTAGGACTTTTTTGTGCTGCAAAAATAATTCTACAGTGTTCAGCCTGTGAGTTTTTATTATTTCTAAAAGAAAGGGTAACACTGAGGTATGCAAATATCCAGTAATTAAAGATACAATGTTACTTAACCTTTTTTATGTCTCTCTACATCTGTTACACATTATATCCAGCTGTGAGCTGCTGTCCATGCTTATCTGTACAGTTTAAGCAGTTTGGGTTCTCCGATTCTGCAAATTTGTTGGTTGGTATAGTTACTGCTGTGTGAAACCTCTTCTGTGAGTCTGGTGGCCAACACTGTACTCCTGTGAGTACATTTTTGTTATTATGTGGCTGTTCTCTGTGAATAAATGTGAGTCTAGGATGTCTGGGTGACAGTTCTACATATAGCATTAGCTTAACACTTTCCACGTACCAGAGCCTGTGTGCAGTAAGTTGCACACTGCAGTAGATGAATTCTCTCTTGTTGTGTTTGCAGTGACACAAAGAGGTGATAACATGGCCAATGAAGAATTAGTGTCCTGGTTTATATTTAGATACCTAAAGCAATTGTTTATTTCCTATCATCAATGCCTAATGATGCACAGAAGATAAAGGAAGTCATGTTGCTGCCCCCTTATGAAAAGTGTCCAGCCTTTGGCATGGAGGAACTTTGAGCTGATAGGAGGCCAGTAGAGGTGTCTACTTAGTTATTATGCCTGTGAATTACAGAGAGAAGGGAGAGTATACCAGAAAAATTTAAGAAAACTTGGATTTTTGGTTAATATGACTCTGCCTCAAGTTAAGGTGTGAGAACTGGAGAGCTGTAACTGAGTCCCAGTAGCACGCTCTGCTGCCACCTCCGCCCTATTGCATCGAGCCATTCCCAGCTGATGCATACCAGCAGGAGTTATTTCACTCACTTGAAGAAAAAAAGCTTGGCATGAAAACGATTGCCCCAGTCTGTCAAAGCAAGAACTCGAAACCTGCATTTTATATGCTTCTGCCTCAACAGCCATTGATGATGATGGTTTTGTGCCTAAGCAGAGAACTGAAATCATCTTTATTCAAGGAGACGAGGAATTTTTGAGCAATAGACCTAACACTTGTGTATCGTGTAGTAGCTTAGTTATCACTAAAAATAAGTTAGATTATGTAGGTGAGTCTCCGTATAATGCTTTATTTTGCAAGTGATATCTCCTTTCTGCTGCAGGTGCAATTGACTGAGTTATTTACACTGTGGCTGCAATTTGAAGCTTTACTTAGTTTACAGGATATTGTCATATGCTGCAATTTTTAGTTATACTTAACTAGATCCAAATTAGTCTGGCTAGGGCTGATTTTTTTTGTATTTGCAGTGAAATAAAAACCTGAATTGTCTCTGTCTAAGTAGCAATAGACTGTTTTGAAGAAAAGATATTTTTGAATGCAAACAGGTAATTAATTATACAAGGTGTTGTTATACAAGTTGTGCAGGTCTCTTTTATAATATTCTTCAGAAACAGAGATTTGCAATAAGCTCTTTCTACCCCTGATAGCCTGTTATTCTTTAGAATATGAGACAGTAGTAAGCTTGCTTTTTCTAGTTATTGAAATTAGGACAAAACATATTCATTGAGTTCTGTGCTTTATCAAAACTACTTAAATCCGTGTTATTTTCAAACTGAAATTTTACAGGGAATAGGCCTGATTTTCGTTTCACAAATGCTGGTGTCAGATCAGAGTAGCTCCTCAGGATTTGTCAGTTTGCAGCTTGGGTGGAGGCTGGCTTGAATCACATTTAGTGGAGAGACCCTTATGAATGCTAGCATAGTCACAACAGCCCTTTGAATACAACTTTTGTCATTTTAGTTAATGAACTAGTCCCCCCTTCCCCTATGCATGTTTTCAAATGCCAGATCCAGGTCATTTTATCAAGACAGAATGAAATACATATTTTGAAGTTTGCTCTTAGCACAGGTATTTGTGTAATCAAACATTTACAGAGCTTAAGTTCTCTTACGACAATTAATGTGCCATTTCCTAAGCCTATCAACTTCATAGGCTCCTGGGCTGAGTTCTGAGTTGATGACAGTTAGAGGGGACAGTTCAGGCCATTAGTCTAACCATGTCAGTACCTGTGCTGCTTACATAGACAACAGCTTTTTTTTCTGCCCTGGACCAAGCCATAGCCATGAAATGCTGCAGAAGCAGCCATCTTATTCCTCCTTCTAGGTGATAAGTCCATGTCTACATATCTTTTGTCTAAATACTCAGATATCTTGTTGTCTAAATGTCTTTGTCAGAAGCTTTAAAGAGGCAATGTCTCTCCCTCAGCTCACCTGCATCACCTTTTTAAAATAACTTCTTGTTTCTTGTGAGAAAAATAATTAAAAAAAAAAAGCTTTTGTTCCACTAACAAGAAACTCGTTACATTCCAATTCCATTTAATTCCACTTTCTTAGTCATGGTATTTCAGCAAAAGGAATACATACCTATGTGTGTCTGAGGGTTGTCGCTTCATTGTGACTGTGATAGAAAAAAATACTATAGAGCCAGATTCCTCTTCCACCTAAAGAAAATTCAGTTTATTCAGGTTCTTACAGCCAGGTTTTAAAAAGAAAAGTAAAAATTTTAAATATCATGGAAATCAAATTGCATCTTCCCCTACTGATAAATTGCAGCAGCATTTAACAAAGCAATGTCTGACTTGCATGCTGGATTGAAGGTCATAGTTATCTGTGAATATAAAAATCTGTGTTTAGTTCTTTGTGTGCAGCCGTTTTAATGTAGTCAAAGTTAAAAGGTGGTTCTGTCACAGGTGAAGCACTGTTGAAAGTACCAGCCTTGCCAGCAGTTGTATTTTTAAATAATCTTTCACTTCATTCCATATAACAGTAGCTTTCATTTTACTTTACCCCCACACATCACATATCCTTCACCCTAATGAAAAACCCAAAGGACTTAACTGAACAAACCACAAATACTTAGCAAAAGCCAGCAAGGCTTGTTACTTCTGATCTCCCACTACGTTATGATAGCTCTCTTTTCAAAGATGCTGCCTATGGAATAAGAGTCACATGTATGTTGCCTCAGTCAGACGTGAAGGACAGTCTATTCTCTCTGTGAGATGCTTAAACCCAGCATTTTATAAAGCAAACAATTTTTTTCCAGGCTTGTGACATCTGTTCCATGAGCATTTTTGTGAAGATACGGCCTTTTGGAGGACCTCGTCCTTGGATGCTAGGTGAAGGGCAGCAAATGCAAAGCAAGCACTGGCATTCTTCAGCTTCATTACAGTGCCATCAGATGGAACAGGGTTATCTCCCCATGTCAAACTGAATTTTTGTTGAATTCAGTCCTCAGCTGTAAAAGGTGTAGTGCCTGCCTCTTAGTTTTGCAACTGAAAGCTTTTTAGCTTCTGCAACGGAACATTAAAATTAAAACAACAAACAACCCAAAACCTGTATGATTGCATGTAAAGAGCTTAATTTCTAAATTTACTAATGTCAAAGCAGAAATTTATTTATTAGAAGATGTTTGAAGACTGCAAATAAAACAATTGAAATAAAAAAGCCTGGAGAGATTATATCGTTGCAATTCCAAATAAGTAATGTCTATCACCAAACTGAAATACTATGTTGAAAAAATGAGACTCTGCTGTATTTTTTAGCAGGGCAACATCATGTTGATAGTTGTGTTCAGCTTGTTAAAATACTTTGCAAGTCTTACACTAATTTCCTAATATTTTTCCTCTTGAAAAAGGATACTATTGAGTGCTCTAATAAATTTCCCCTTGGAGTATATTTATTAGGGAATATTTTTCAGGTGAAAGTTCACAAAAAATAAAGGGTTGCAAATTTTTAGTAAATGAAATTATGATAGCCATTCTTTAGGTTAATTTCAGCCCTATTGTAAGATTAACAGGTTAGTCACAACAAGGTTAGTTTTAAATACTGAATTGGTGCACAGTTACAATACAGTTCCAAAAGGTGATTGCCTACCCCTAATCATACATATTGGTACTTGGATAAATTGGACAATGTTTGATCTTTCTAGCGGAGTTATGCAATTGGAGCTATGTATCACACCGTATCTGTACCAGTGTTGGTCAGCATATGAAATGAGTTGGTGCAAGAATTTGCTTGATTGTCTTGAGTCCTACATCATTAAGGGAATCATAGATTCACAAGGTAATTCAGGGTGGAAGAGATCTCAGTAGCCCATTTTAGCCAACTTCTTTCTTCAAGAGCATTACTTAATTATTTTAATTATCATTCCATGATAATTTAGGCATTGACCCTAATGATGAACTGGACAGATTGTAAAATACATTGTCCTGAGACTGCAGCAGTGAGACAGAGTTCAATTTACATAGAAAGATGTGTTTCTGATCTGCAAGGACAGGGTTTCTAGGTTCTGTTACAGGAAGCATAATGGTGCAGCACAGGTGTGTCTATGCATGAGATGATAGAGAGCTTATTAGTAGTATTCTGTGAAGCATGCACTGAAATAAGTATGTGCTGATATGGCAAATAAACTGTGGCTGGAAGAGGAAAGATTTTAGAATTGGATGCTGGAATTTCCTTTTCACTGAAACTAATATTCAGTTCTCTGAAATGACTTCATTATTGCAAGTTAATTTCTCTTTGTAGCCATTGGATAAAACTGGTTTTAAAATCTGTATAGAAGTGCACATAACTAAATGGGAGCAGGGGGCACACACGTGGGACTCTTCCTATATGGGAAGAGTCAAGAATATTGCTTTATTTTCGATTAAGTCATAAAACCTCTGAAAGTTTTGATGGAATGTGATAGGGATTTCCCATGACTTCTTTGCACCACTGTCTTTGTTTTCAAAGAAGCTCTCAAATCTTCAGTGTAGTTTATTCAGTTTATTGTCTATGTCAGTATGTTATTCTGCAATGTCAAGACCTAGATCAAAATGCCTGGGAGTTTGACAATCAGTATTTTTTTCTACTTTTTCTCAATTTGGTAGAGAATTTTCCAAGGAAAGAGAAAAAGCCAAGGCCCGAGGGGACTTTCAGAAGCTACGTGAAAAACAGCAGCTTGAAGAAGATCTGAAGGGATATTTAGACTGGATTACACAGGCAGAAGACATTGACCCTGAGAATGATGAAGAGGTTGATGAAGAAGGCAAGCGGAACAGTATGTGTTCTTTACTCTCTACTACTTCCATGTGGGACAGTGTGACTGCTTTTAAGGGTGTTACACGGGGGTGAATGCAGCCTGGCTAATGTCGCTTTCTGAGTTTCAATTTGCAAAAGCATTTGTTAGCAGAACAATCATGTCTGTTAATATATTGATACTTAGTCATGGAAGATAATCCAGAATCTGCCAACAAAATTCTGCTCTGTGCTGTCCATGTGCAAATCATTGTCTGCACTCAGTCACTACTGAGACTTAAAACCTTTGCTATACTTGTGGTCTGTAAAAAGTTAGTGCATACAGGCTACATGCCACTAAGTATAATTGTCAATTCTTAGTCAAGAAAAATATGTTTTTGCCTGTAGGTGCATGCAATAGGAATAATAATTATATAAAAAGCTTAAAACATATGGTCAAAACTACAGTCAAGACATAACCTGGTGCTAATAGTGAAAGGGTTTGTTTTTTGGTTTTGGGTTTCGTTTGGGTTTGTTAGGGTTTTTTTTGAGTTTTGAAGTAGAGAAATTACATTCTGGATCTTTCTGATTTTCAAGAGAAGTATTTAAAATCTTTTTTACTAGATGTATTAAAAGAATATGGAATAAATGAGATCCTGTGGGATTTTGGTTTGACACTAAAGAGTATAATTATTGCTTACTTTTGGTGTATTTATTTATCAGTAGTGTATTATGGGAAAGGTTATTCATGCTGTAGTGGCCCTCTAGTGCTTTTGACCTGAGTTGTAATATAAAGGAACAAGCTAGTTTCATGATAGTGTGACAACTGTAAAAATTACAATCGATTTCTCTGTTACAGAAATTTTGAGTAACAGCAGTATTTTAATGTTATTTAAGGTTATTTTAGCCTCTTCACCAAGTTTACATAGTAGTGGTTAAAATTTGCATGAGAACTTTTAGTGGTGTACATAAATGAGAATATGGATTCAGGATGTTGTTTGTGGTTTATGATTTAATACTAAATGTAAGTTTAAAGTCCAATATATATACTAATGCTAAATAGCATCTTCTTATTTATCTGATACTCTAGAAAGTCATGGTACTTTTTCATGTAGATTCCATGAGTATATATAAGACAAAGCATCTATAAGTGGTTTGTCAAAGCCAACTCAGAATGTTATTTTCTGTGTTGAATACATTAATACTGTTCTTTTTCTTCTAAAGCTGTTAATTTATCATTAACTGTTCTTTTAAACCATAGTACTTTTCAGAAGTAGTAAAAAGTGAAAATTATGTGGTTTGATATTGAGGTATCTGTTTTAAAACTTATCTCTGTATTGCATGTAGTTAAGTTACTTTTAAAATCTTTGTTTTTTAGAATTTTATTAGACCTTTAGTTGATAAAAGTAGGGGATGAATTTGTGTTGCTGACTGGAAGGAAACAAAGATTTTATGAGAGGCTGGAAGGCAACTTGTGGGTTGATGTTGATGCCAGCATCACCCAGAAAAGAATAATTTATGTCTATGTGAAAAATGTAGCACAGAGGTTTTATCTAGAGCAGAACAAAAAAAGCTACATAATTTACTAGACGTTGTTGTTGATACTGATGTTGTATGGGTGGGTTTGAGTATCAATATAAAATCCTAAGACTGAGAAATAAAAGGTTGCACATTTTATTGAGTAAATACACTTTGTACAAGACTACGATGCAGAATTGTAGGTGATGCTGAATTTTCACAGAGCACTGGGCAGCCATCCTGTCGACTATGGTGCTGATGGACTTGGTTTGTAAGTCTGCAGGTCAAATCTCAGGAATTTGTTGCATCCTGTTCAAATTGGATGTGTGTTAATATGCTGCAAAAGAACAATTTGCTCCAGCATTCTTTAAAGAGCTTCTAGATCATACAGGTCTTTCATAAATAAAAAAATACTTGTTTCTATTGCTGTTGTGTTTGAGAGAGCTTTGGGCTCTAAACTGTTAACTTAGATATAATTTTAGGGTAAGTTAAGAGTTGGAGAAGACTTACAGAGTAAAAATAGGAGAAGGAATGTAATTACAAGACCTTTAAAACAATCCCAAGAATTTAATTTCGGGTATGCATATATATATGGAGTGGAAATTTCCAGCAAAGAGGCAATCTCCTAGTACTCTTCTGGGTTTGTGCACATGTGCTTAAATATGTGGCTTGGAATTTCATTTTTAATATCAGCTGCGACAGGGTATAAAGGAAGAGTTGCCGAATTACTCCACTTCCTTGCATTCCAGACATGCTCTGCTGCATATCACATGGCATGGGGAGATAGGATGAGCATGGGGAGATAGGATGAGAGGCAGCACAAGGTGTCCATCCCGTTATTCCATGGAAAACTTTTGGATTAGGAGCATAGTTGTAATAATGTGCTACCTGTTTAAGAATGAGGTGAAATTTAGCTAGTTATCACCTATGGTTAATTATTTTGAGTAGTAAGCCTGGGAAATAAATGTAGTCGAGATATACTGATGATGTGTTTCTAGAACTGTCTTTGAAGCATAATGTAGGGCTACATGCAAAGATAGGCAGAATAACAATTTGCAGGCTTCTGGGCAGCTGTGTCCCTACTTTAAATACCTAAACCTTTGGATGATCAAGATTACTGCTGATTTATTGTGATGGAAATCACCATAATGCTCTTCAACAATGTGGAAGAGCTCTGGATTTAGGATACAGAAGATCTCTCTATGGCAGGAAAAGGTACAGATTTCAAAGACAGCTAAATCAGTGATTAATAGGTTCTTACATAATACTTTAAAAGTGTAGTTTAGGCTTCTGCAACACAAGCATTTTAAAATTTCTAACCAGAGAAGCCATTAAGTCAAACTATTTGTATATGAACCCTCTGTATTCACAGATCTCTGTTGCTGATAGTGGGCAGGTATTCAGTGCTGTTGAATAATGGAATACCTTTTAACTACTAGAATTGTAAATATGCCTTTAGTAAAGGTCGTAAGTTTTCATTATGACGCAATAACTAGTTACCCCCAGGTCAATGAAAAAATTTCCAGTGACTTCAAAGCATTGTGAATGTAGCTCAAAATGCAAAAATCGGCGAGAGGTGAGAGGCTGAGCTCTGGTGAGCTATGCTGGCGGTATTTTCAATTCGTTTTGCCTAACCTTGCCTGTATGTATGGACACTTTTATTTTTTGCGTTGCCACTGCTGCCATCTACTGTGTCCCTGCTGGGATTACATGTGCTTAATACGAAGGGGTTACACTGGCTGACTTAATGGAAGAAAAGAAGAAAAGCAGGCTTAGATGGTTTGGCCGTTCTTCCAATAAACATGGTAAAACATGGTTGGATTTGCAGTTGAACTTTCTTTTGTGCTGATGCTGCATTTGATGTGTGAGGTTTTGAAAGCACACTTCATATGCGTTTTCTACCACAAAGGCATATACGTCTTTGGCATGTAGACTCTCGTGCATGCAGTCCTGCTGGTTTAAATGCATGTTTGAAATACACTGGTGCTGCTGCAGTGCTCTACCTTCCTAAAGTGGAGGCTTTAATCTGTTTCGATTTCCACTGAAGTGTTTTTTGTCTGTTACTGTTCTTGCTGAAGCATAGGTTTTCTTTTTTCAGAAATCTATTTTAAATTCATGTGTGAAGAAATTAATCAAAGTATTTTACAAACTTTATTAATGGATTGTAGTGTAAGCTTAGAACAGCATGATTATAATATTTATTTATAATACTTCTAATGTAGAATCTAGCAAAACTTTTACTGTGTTTCCTCTTGTTGATGATGGGTTTGTTTCTGTAATTCTTTCCCACCCACAATGGAGATGGACAGGGGTTTTCGAGTACGATAGTCTTTTAGTACCGGTAAACATACTGCTGTGACAATTTAGAGGTCTAGTTTTAATCCTACCTACAACAAAGTTATTGCAGCAACTGAATTCCTTGCTGTCCTAAGAGTCACTATTACGGCTCAGACTGAGGCTGACAAATCTGATCCAGTTACTTTAGGGAAGGCAGAGTATTAACTCAGAAATTGCTAGGACCCAGTGGACTCATTTTCTACAAATACTGAGTCTACTTGAAACTATTCATGTGACTGCTACATATATTGTTTAATAGCTCACACAGCTTTATAGGCTGCAATCATTTTTCCATAAAAATGGCTGAAAGTGGTTGCAGTTTTACTTTGGATATGTGTTTCAACAAAGCATTTAAATGAGCACATTCAGATTCTGATGTCAGTTGTGAAGAAGCATGGAACTGGCTGAAAACTTGCTGTGGTCTGATGCAAATGCTGTCTCGCTGCTAGTACCTGACCTCACCCATTGAGAGCGTTCTCAAGCATGTGTGCACTGTCTTAGTTTCATCCGTGTCTTGTAGGGCAGGTATACATTTATGAGTAGGATTTTTCCAAAGTGCAAATCGGTGGCCTATTTCTTCCTCTGTTTGTGAGACTACTAAACTGATCTGAGTAGCTCAGACTTAGGCTACCACCGGATTAGAAATCCCACCCAAAACGTTTTGGGTTTTTTTGTTATCTGTACTTCTATTTCCATTAAAAGCACCACATCTGTAGATTTTACACCACTCCCAAGATTCACAATGTCATCCTTAAGGCTAGACGTGGTTGGTTCAGCAATGCTTCTGTAATGAAGACTGATAATTTTGCTTTCCTTCCACTGCCGTGCAACCATTCAACCTTACACTGAGCTTCCATGGGCTGTCTATAAAAAGGGAATGATTGTTGATAGTATCAACATTAGATCTGCACTATGAAAATGGATAACTCACTACAGTATCAAGTAGAACATCTTCCAGGCAGCCGCTCCTTAAAGTGAATTTACCCCAAGGAGCTTCACAGTCAGAAGAGATAGTACCGTTTCCTTCTGATGTGTTTTCTGGGTATACAGCAGACTTAGGAAAATTTGAGATGAATTTGTAATGATAATGTTGCCTCTTTGGGGATTTTGTTGTTGTTCTGTTTTCCTGTTTGACCACCTCAAAGACTTGGTGTAAAGGATTAAGAAAATCCATGTACTGATTTGAGAAAGAATTAGGAGTTTTTTTGAGCTTACAGAATTGGTTTGATGTTACTAGCAGCCAGAAGCCCAGCTGGCAACTAAGTACCATGCAGCTGCTTGCTTACTCCCCCCCTGCCACTCCCCAGTGGGATCGGGAGAAGAACCGGGGGAAAAAAAAAGTAAAACTCCATCGATTGAGATAAGAACAATTTAATAATTGAAAATAAAGTAAAATATAATAGTAATACAATAATAGGAAATAGAGAGAGAGAGAAATAAACCCCACCCCTCAAGAAAGAAACCTGCAAGTGATACACAATACAGTTGCTCACCACCCGCTGACCGATGCCCAGCCTGACCCAAGCAGCAACCAGTGCCTCCGGGTCAACTCCCCACAGTTTCTACACTGAGTGTGACACGCTGCAGTATGAAATACCCCTCTGGCTAGTTTGGGTCAGGTGTCCTGTCTCTGCTTCCTCCCAGCTTCTTGTGCCCCTCCTCACTGGCAGAGCATGAGAAACTGAAAAGACCTTAACTTATATAAATACTATGTACCAGCAACTAAAGTATCAGTGTGTTATCAACATTATTCTTGCACTAAATCTGAAACACACCACTGTATCAGCTACTAGGAAGAAAATTAACTCTATCCCAGCCAAAACCAGGACACTATTTTGCAAGATTGATCTAAAATTTTGCCAGTATAGTGCCTTTTTAAATAATTGTGAGATTCTCTCCAGTAGCTGTTACTGAATATCTGACTTGCTGTGCAGATCACTCCACTTATGCAGCTCGTTTCCTTCAGCATGTGTAACCAGAAGGCTACTCAAGGTGCATCAGGGTGGAAATGAGATCAGCCTATGGATCAAAAAAACATAGCTGAAGTTGAACCAGATGAAAATATTACTTATATACTTTCTAGAGAGAACATTTCCAACTGTAATACTTGCCACCACAATTCAATAATTCAGGGTGGAATTTAGCCTGCTTCTGGAATCTGCAGTGACACTAAATTGTCATATCATAGGATTGTGGAATTTATTTCTTCCAGCTCCATCTGGCTAGAATATACCAATGCTGATGGACACTGACTTGCTCTTAGCTATGCATTAGTTATGTCCTGGAGTGGAGCTTGAAATCCCTGCTGCAAAATCTGAAAACTGTTTAGAGTAAATAGTGAACATTATAACATGAGAAACACAATCTGTTTTCTTATCCACAGAAATAAAATGTAGTAGTTGATGTATTTGACCTATTTTCTATATACTCAGGAAAGTATTAAGCTGCATGCTGTATGGGTTGCTTATATTAACTAATGCAAGCATTCTTTCAGTTGAAACCAGTAACCATAACTGAAGAGAGCTGATACTACCTAGAAATCTAGATAATTTTTCCAGAAGAATGCCAGTAAAATAAGGACAAAGGGTGAACAAAGAATAGAGACAATTTGATATCTAACTTTGAATACTGGCATACCGGTTTAAAGATCTCAAAGCTGGCCTTACTGAGATCAGATGGGTTTTCAAAAGTTTATCCTGTGTGCTGTCGTTTGCCCAATGAACATCCCCCTTAAAAAGCCATGGTCGTGAAACTGGATTTTTTCAAGCCTTGCCAGGTTGCTTGTATTGGTGAGAGTGGATGTGGTCATGCAGTGCTGTTGCTGTTTTCTCTAGGTAAAGATTTAATGACTTGCTAGCATTGCTGGAGCTAGACATCCACATGCGGCCTTTCGCAGTACTTTTGTCAAGTTTTTTTTTGGCACATGAATTGCAGTATAATGATAGCTGAGTTTCTAATGTCTGAACTGAACTGTCTGCGGTTCTTTTTTTCCCTCTTTCATTTTTGTAACACAGCACCTTTAAGACACTAATAGAGTTAGAACAATAGCACCATCTAAAATAGAGAGCAACAGTCTGACTGTATTTAATGATTAGCAGAACTGACATTGGCTTCATTAGGGACCAAGACTTTTCTTTTCTTTGGTACTTTGTTTTTCTTTATGCAGTCATGTTCAAAAAGGGCTGGCATTTCATTATGGAGATTAATGCGTCAAGTCTTGAAGTAAGATGATATTACTTTACACTTACTCTTAAAAATTATTTGGCATGTATCAAAATAAACAGCATTTGTGTGACTGATGATTTATGAGGAACTAGATTTTGGGTATTCCTTTTAGATGAAGGAAGGGTTGATAAATTTGAAACACAACTGTGAGACACATTGCACATATGGAGTACTTGCAGAAGTGTACCTAGCTCTGTTTTCATGACAGCTTTTAATAGCAGTGTATGAAACAAGACTTCTGCATTCATATTTTGCAGTTGCCCATCACAAGTGCTAAGATGTTCATCATTAGGTGGCTGTAATGTTGTGCTTCCTAACAGCATGTAAGTCAGCCAGCACAAGACAACTGCTTCAGTTCTTTACCAGACAGGGAAACTCCCTGCATTTATTGCAAAAGACCCTGGCATTTTTAAATAAAAAATATTAGTTCTGAAGATGTGAGACTATGTCTGAAATAGTTTTATAATTTTTTTTTCCTTAAACCGTTTCTAATTTTAATACTTGAATTTGGATGTCATCAAAGATTGTTTGCTTTTGAATGAAATGACTTTTGAACTTTGTCAGCTGTGAAGTGCACACAAGACTATCAATATTCAGTTTATAAAGCTGATTTATAAAGAGAAGCATGATATTAGAAGCATGCAATTTCAGTAATACTCTGAATGAATCATCAAAACAGAAGAACCTTGTGAAAGAAAGTTTTGTTGTGCTTACTGCCTGAAGTCCCTTGTTTGTTCAAACACTTGCATGAACATTTTTGATCTTTCTTTGTTATGCCAATTCTGTGTTTAACATTTCATGTCATGGGACAGATTCTCAGCTGTTGCAAATAGTAGCTGAACATTTAGCCTACATAGACCTGTCAGTCTCTCTGCTTGGATGGAATCGGTGAGGATGGAAACCAAGCTACCATCTACCACTTCCACGTATCTCTGGCAGTGTTGAGGCAATATATGAGAAACTGTTACTAACAGTTCTCACTTTGTACTTGATCCTTAGACAAATCAGAAAATTCAGGGCCTGATCTCAAATCTTACTTCCGTTAAGATGAGTATAATTAAATCTGCTTCAAGCCTCCTTTAGGCTACCAAGATAGTGATACATCCCTAACAGAAATAGACATTGTAGCCCTTCTGCATTCAGTGCTCTCATTCCACAGACATTGGCTTAAACTCTCCCCAGCAAAACAAACAAAAAACCCAAACAAATAAAACATCAAAGCAGCAAAAGGTTCACCCCAGAATACCTGTAAGATACTCCATTTTTCTTTTGTTCCAGCTGCTCTAGTTTCAGTGCATCTTCCACCTCTCTAATTTTTTCCTACTTCATATGGTATTTCTACTGTATAAAACATCAACATTAATTTTATGCTTTTCTTGTTCCTGAGGTTTTTCCTTTCATGCTTGCTTTGAAGAAATGGAAGTAGTGTTCTTCCCTAGGAAGTACTGAGAACTTTGGCTGTTCATCATTTCCAAACACCTTTTGACATACGTTTTTCCCCCTCTATATTTCAGTTGACTTGAAGATAAATCTTTTATTAGACCTGCAAAAAGTGGAGGCTTTCTTGCAATAGAACAGGAGATCACATTCTGCATAAAGCCTTTCTTGGCTATCAATCTAAAGCAATTTCTGTTTCCTCACAGCAAGCATGCCCACCAGTGAAACTGAATCAGTGAACACGGAAAACGTGAGCGGAGAAGGAGAGAACCCGGCATGCTGTGGGAGCTTATGGTGAGTACATGGGCTGCTTTCAAATGCACACCTTCATCATCTCAAAATGCAAAAGAATAATTTTTCCCTGTTGTTTATTTAGCCAAATTTGCTTTCAAATAGTTAAGCTTTGTAAGACACTTGAGTTTATTTTGCCTTTCTACTGAAATTCTCAATGCAGAAGTTATAAAACAATTCAACTAAACTTCTAGTGGGTCATGTTCTCCTGAAGCCTTTTATAAAATATAATGTCCATAATAATAAGAAAATAACAGAAGTCCTCTATGACATGTAAAAAGAAACATTTTCTGTTAAATTGTTCGTGATTTGGAGAATATATTTTTTTTAGGCAACAACCGAATATATGGGAGTATTTCTGTATCCCGTGGTGTTCGGTATTTATTTGTCAGATTTTCATGACTTCCAAGCAGCTTCTACACGAGCAGATTATTTACCTAGCTTTAAAGGAGATTTCCTTTCACTTAGAAAATTTGTAAAGCTTTAGGAATGGTATTTCAGAAAAGAAATAATAGAATTTCAGCATTGATAATGCATTTTGTTAAAAGTTTGTTTTTATATATATGTAATTCCAGTGTATTGATTTGCAGAAATCTAAAAAGAACAAATTTGTCTTATTTTTTGTAAATTCTTAAAAATGTCTTTTCCTTTCCATCTAGTCAAACCATCTCAAAATCCAAGTTCAGGTCAGTATTTTTGTCTCTCTTCATTGCTTTTTTTTAATTTGTGAATGTTTACATATCATGATGATCTCATATAATTATTCTTTATTTGCTGTTCTTCAAATTTTATTGTGTGAAAATTCTTCCTAACAGTTACTGATGAACACAAGAATAAAGTATCCATGAACACTTTTGAAAATCAAACTCCCTGATTTATGTTGCTGATATTTGTGGCTTTCTTTTCATTTACTAGGAACATTTAGGAATATGAGCTTCTATTTTCACATATGATTGCAGAAAGGAAGGGTTACCAGCAAAACTAAGAATCAGTAGTTGTGATACTGTTGACACTGGATGTGCCAGTACAAAGCCAATAGGTTTCTTTATTTTGATTTTATTTTCCAGTCTTATAGGACATATATTTCGTAATTAGAAAGGATAACTGCAAACACAGAAGATACACCTCTTTCTGTTTAAAAAGGTTAGGTTATTCCACGAAGGAGCAAAAAGGAAAGTGATTTAATGTAAGTAGTCAAGTGGTAGGCCTAGTGAATCCCAAAGGGCAAAAACCACTCCTACAGTTGCAGACAACCCACAGAATAAACAATTGTCACAGAATATTTTCAGTGATAAAAAGGGACAATCAAGAAGATTTGGCAACATCTGGCATCAGCAGTTTTGGCAACATCTGGAAGCATTCCAATTTTTTAACCTTAGTAAAACTGATTTCAGTGTTGGATGTTCAGCAACTAATTCATTGGTAACAGCAGCATATTCTCCTTGCAGCAATGAAGAGGATAGCAAACCCAGGTTTATTCTACTAGCCTTACTAGGTCTAATGACCTATCAGAGCTGACCAGCTGCAAGCAGTTGAAGTGGACTTGTGTTCCTTCTGAATAGTCTTTCTTTTTTGAAGAAGAGTTCCCAGGCAACAGTTAACTGGTGCTGTCCCACCCTGAGAGGTTTTTTCATGTGGTGCTATGATCAAGCTTTATTTTGTCATCCCTTTCAGCCAGCAAACTGGTGACAGCATCTAAATGTGCCTCACTCTGCTGAACACTGCGGCCAGTGGACATCTGGCTATTTAGGATTGTAGTGAATGCACAACTAACTTTTTAGGAGTTTCATCATCGGTTATAAAAGCTGTATAATTTCTTGTATGCCCTCTGCTACAGAAACTGACTTCAGCTCCACCAAATGAATGGACCAGTTATGTCCATGTGGACCTTTGAGCTTAACCCTTCATGAAAATTATTAGGTGAGATTGCTTTTAGCTTGATAAAGAGCAGCTTTTCAGTCTGCTAATGGTCTAAAATTCTTCTTGCCATTGCTTACAGTTACCATTATAGGAGAAAAAATGGAACAATGCTGCATCTGTTCACAGAAGTTGTTGCAATCGGCAACGGGATGTTTGTGTCTCTCATTTGGAAGTGCTAGAAGTTTTCAAACTGAATTTGGTAATGGGCTGTGTTCAGTGGTCAGGGATGACTTAGCACCTTCTAAGCCAAATGCTAAATCTTGGTCTAATTCTCACTCTTCTGGCTTCTTCCTTGCTCCAGATTCAGGAATGTTATTCTGCAATGGCAGTACACTGTGTTTCAGGGCAAAGCAAATCAGGCTTGTCAGGGATATTGGTTTGACCGTAAACATCTTTGCCTTCGGATCAAAATAGAAAATGCTTTTAATTTCAAGCGAGCCTGCCTGCTGTATCAGAAGTGAAGATAGAGCTTAATCCTTAGAAATATGTTTCTATACAGTCAGATGGGTACTTGATCAAAAGAAGTACATCCCAGCAAGATACAGCAATTATCTGCCAGTTTGTTAAGTGAAGGTATATTAACTACACATTATGTGAGGATATGTATGGATAATTATGATTTGTGCTGCATATTTGTAATATTCCAGGTGGAATTTGGAAACTTTTGATACTAGAATAACTTTTTCTCCTGACATGGATGCAACAGTGCTGTGATTAGAGGAAGATGGGGATCTGCTAGGGGAAGAGATTTGTGCATGTTTTCCTCTGTGAAGATCCCTCTTTTTAAGAATTTGCTTCCTCATTTATCACTATGGTCGCAGAATCACAGAATGGCTGAGGCTGGAAAAAAACACTGGTGGTCATCTAGTCCAACCTCCCTGCTCAAACAGGGTCGCCTACAGCACATTGCTCAGGATCATGCCCAGGTGGCCCTTGAATATCTCCAGAGAGGGAGACTCCACAACCTTTCTGGACAACCACTTGATTAAATGATCACTTTACTCTTCAAGTCATGCTAAAAATCTGGTTCTATGCCCTGAATCCTGTAACTACAAAAATGAGGAGTGGAAAAATAACCTCGTATGCTTCTATTTTTTCACAATGAATGACTGCTCTGCTAAATTCTTCTGTCCCATATTTTATAAATAAGAGTAGTGAAGTCTCTGCATAGATGTTAGTACCCACAACTACAGAAGAATTCATCTTGGGCATTAATATTTACTTCTCTTTAAGCTTACTGTTGAAAATATGAGGCATGCCCATTTCACAGATACAGGGATTCTGCATGTGGTTCTAAACAGAAAGTCCAGTTTAGAAAAATACCATGTTATCATGAAAGGCTGCTGATACAAAATCAGCTGAAAATTAATGTTCCTACCCTGTGCATAGGCTTAGTATCAATACACAAACACACATGAATAGCAAGTAAACAAATTAAACTTCACAGATCCTGCATGACTGACTGACACTGAGTTCAGTCAGACCCACTGGAAGACTGGGTTTCCCATGTGTGGATTCAAATTTAAGACCCAGGACCCACACATGAATACCTGAGTGAATGAAAGTGAAACTGGGAACACATTTGTAAGAATAATGATGTTCTTATAAATAGTTACGAAGAAAAACTGATGTTATTTAATGAGAACAAAAGCAGTAAATAATTTGGTTTGTCATAACAAAACTATGTCAACTATAAGTGTCCTCTACAATTTTAGTGTTTTTTCAGCTGCTATGTTTTTGTTAAATTTAATGAAAGCAATGTTGTATCATTGCAAAGTTATCAAAATGGAATTTCTTTTAAAAATAAAAGGGTACATTTTGCTGTTCCAGAAAAAAAATTATGCTATTTGGTTAAAACTAGGAGGAGCGGTTGAAAAAAAATAGAAGAGTGTCCAGTGAAAATAGTGTAATTTGTTTTCCTTTATCTTTTATAGCCATAGGTTTTCTGGCACAACAGGCCATCTAATTCACCCTGCTGCTTACTGTTTATTTCTTTACTTGTACCAATCTAATGAAGGTAGAAAATTACTCCTATTCTCCTTTTTGAATTTTTGTTTTATTTCTGTAGTCTTTTTGCATATTAGTCATATTACTAATTTTTGCACATTACTTATATTAGTCATACGCTTCCAAATGTGAGTGCCATTACAGCCATTGCACACCCTTTGGCAGTGCTGTCATAAATACATCACTTAGCTATACTATTTTGTCAGATTCTACAGACCTTTGGGGGGAAAAAAAAAAGCCCTGTTGGCTTCAGAGAGCTCTGAGTAATACACTTTGGGGCTGCTTTTGGCTCCTCTGAATAGAGCTATCCAAACAATATTATTCTTGTCTCGTTGACTGCAATGATAGGCTGTCCTGTAAGTGTAAAAAAAGGCTGTTTTACCTACCAGGGAGTGAGCCATCCTAATGACGGCCATGGTTCCCAGGGTACTGGCAAGATAAGAACGTTCTTGAATAGTGTGTTGATTTAGGTCAGGACAGGATATTTTTCCTTTATATGGCTAGAATATTGCAAAGGCTTGAATCATCTTTGTAGTGATATGTGAAACCAGTGTTAATTTCCAGTACTACAAGTACAAATTTAAGGTGCCTAAAGAAAACTCAGTTAATGCTTGAATGCAGTGTCAAGCTCAGTTATTTTTATGGTGGTGGTGTTGCATATTGGTTCTAATTTCTGAGGCAGATATAAAGCATTTCTGATTTTATACATATTAAATACAATACCTGCTAATTCAGACACTGAAAGTATAAAGAAATTCGTGTAGTTATTTGTAGCAATTTTCAAAAGCTGTAGTTCGATGCCTTGGTACTGCCAAAAGGGCTGCAGTGCCCTTCCTCTGTCTCACCCACTCATTCTTCATGCTCTTTCTGTGATCCAACAATGCAGTGAATTGCTAAAATAAACCTAGAAAAAAAGCAACTTTTTTCAGCAGTCAGTTCTCAGGTCTGGATCACTTCATTAGGCTAGTTGTGGCAAAAGGGAAAGGAGAGGGCAGAACAAGGAGAGCAGACCACTGCTTTCTATCACAACAGATTTGTGCTAGACTGGCTTGATAGTGAAAATAGAGAAAGAAGTTTATACATGCACACTCTTCTCAGTTCTTTGCTATTTTAAGGCTAGGTCAAGCTTCCATTGGATCTGTGCTTGCTTTGTCCCTTGAATGTTGGATGAAGCAGTTGGTCAGTTCTTAAATTTTATTATCTGAGTCCACAGCTGCAGTTGTGAGTGTCTGAATTTTATATGCCTCCCTTTTAGGCAATATCAACTGCTTCCTAATCCTTCTCCTATGACCCAGCAGTATATTTTCTTCCTGTTTCACAAATGGAAATGCAGCCCAGGGAGACTAATTGGTTTGCTAAAGTTCCCAGAAGCAAAGCAGAGAAATTAAATCTAGTTTTATGAGTCCAAAGCTAAGCTAATACCCTCATTTGTGAATCCAGTTCATACCTAGATAGGGCCTGTTTACTTATCCTTGATTGTCACTCTTAGTCATTTCACAAACATTCGCCCACTGACACAATTTCAAGGCACATAGCAGAAATCTCTAGAAGTCACTGACTGAGATTTCTAACATTATAGGGTAGATTTCTTAAAGTTGACCTCAATGTTCCTGTCTTGTTTAATCTTGCCATAATTGTGCCTGTGTTTTAACTCAAAGGCTACATTTCAGGCTAAATGTAATTTGATTTTAAGTTGCTTCATTGGCTTTTCTGTACTGCTATTTAGTGCCTGAGAAGACAGCTATATCTTGTTAATGAAATGTTAAATGCAGTGTAGTCTAGTTATGTCACAGCCAATTAGAGTCTCCAAAAGTTCTGATCTACATTTGAAAATCTATAAGGAAATATAAAAAAGAAATAGGAAAATATTACTCTCTAATTTTCAACTGGTAATAATTTACACAGCTATCTGAAGTATTGCACACACATTCATGAAAACACACCTGCTCACACATATGTACTTGCACTATGTTTTCTACACAGAAGAAACCCTCCTTAAGTTCATCTTTTCTGTATAATAATAAACTTTTTATTTGAACTTTCAGTCGACGCTGGCGTCGCTGGAATCGATTTAATCGAAGAAAATGTAGAGCTGCAGTAAAATCTGTCACATTTTATTGGCTTGTTATTGTCTTGGTCTTTCTGAACACATTAACTATCTCATCAGAGCATTATAATCAACCTGACTGGCTGACCCAGATCCAAGGTACATTTAAATATTACTTGTCCTGTTCTTGACTGTGAGTACTTGCATTCTATCACTGACTACTGCTGTACTTTGCCATTTTGTTGTTATTTGCTGTCCAGAAAGATACTCAGCCCAGCCAAAGGGAGATACAAGAAATGACTGAATGTATTTGATTGTTGCAACTGTGACACAGCTTAATGGCATACCAGCCAAAACCTGACAATACTGAATTGTAAATACCTGTACTTTTATTGTTAAACAATGCTTGAAAGTTGAGGAAGGAAATAGTTACTGGCACAGCAGAACATACTGTGGGCTCTGTTGCTTAATTACAGTGTGGACTCAAGCTGTGAGTTGAGCAGTGATGAAATGGATTGGAAAGATGAATAGTTTATAGGTGGCAGGAAGCTTCGCATCCTTGTGCAGCTTTTGCCATTTAGGCATCAAATATAGTCCAGTGTAAAAAACCAGCACTTCCTCCTGCAGCAAAAGGCTGCGAACTAGTACAGAAAATATAGTACTAATATGTGAAAACACAAATGGAATCTATGAAACAATTCAGGAATGTCTTTTTTTTTTTTTTTTTAATATTTTGTTCCAGATATCGCAAATAAAGTTCTTCTGGCTTTATTCACCTGTGAAATGTTAGTAAAGATGTACAGCTTGGGCCTACAGGCTTATTTTGTTTCTCTTTTTAACCGCTTTGATTGCTTCGTTGTTTGTGGTGGCATTGTTGAAACCATTTTGGTGGAGTTGGAAATTATGTCACCCCTTGGAATTTCAGTGTTTCGCTGTGTTCGTCTCCTGCGTATTTTTAAAGTAACAAGGTAAGATTAATACTGCTAACTTTAGGGATAGCTGAAGGGTGGTCAGCAATTCTTTTGTAATACTTCATCATGCTCTGCTCTTTTACTGTTTTGTTTGGGGTTTTTTTTGGTGTGTGTTAATACACGCATTTTAATTTATAGGCACTGGGCATCCCTGAGCAACTTGGTAGCATCCTTGTTAAACTCAATGAAGTCCATTGCTTCACTGTTGCTTCTGCTTTTCCTCTTCATCATAATCTTCTCGTTGCTTGGAATGCAGCTGTTTGGAGGCAAATTTAATTTTGATGAAACTCAAACAAAACGGAGCACCTTCGATAATTTTCCACAAGCTCTTTTAACTGTATTCCAGGTAACTTTCTTTCATCCTGTATGAAACATTTTACCTTTGATGATCAACAAAACTGTTTAAGTGATCATGTTGCCTGAAAATAAAATCACAAATACTATTTATCCAGTTTAAGTAGTGTTCTGCTCATTAAATTCAGTACTCTGGTAGCTCTGCACCATTTGTACCATTTGTTTCATGTGTTATTTGATCTATCTATGCAACATAGCTGTCATATTACTTCACAAAATTAAATCTGCTTTGTCCATCAAATACAAGATTAGAAAAAGAGGTGGAATGTTATTTTTATTTTAATTAATTTTTTTTCTTTAACTTCATTAGCTATATAAAAGATCAGCTATTCCCAAGCAGGAAAAAATGAGAAGCATTGTAACAGTGCATATTTGCATATGGGCCATATCGCTTATTATAATATAAAAATAACTTGATTTCCTTAAAGAGACATTGTCAGATTTATTAAAATTTAAAATAACTTGTCTGTTCCATGTGAAAAAGGTCTATAATTACAGTTTACTTTTCACTGTTTTATGATGCTGCTTTTTTTTTTTTTCCCCCAATTTGGTTACTGGAATTAGGCTAATTGTTTTCATCTTTCTAGCCATTTTCCGATTCAGCTTTGCACATTACCACAATGTTTGTTTTCAGACATTGTAGGTGACTTTAAAGCTGACCTTGCAAGACTCAACTTTGTGTCAAGTTCCTCTCTCTTTGATAGAGGTTTCATCTGGTGGCTGCCCAGAGGAAGCAAAAAAAATCTTTCCATGTAATTTTAAAAAAAGATCTTAATGAGAAACTTCCTTAAGAGGAAAAGTGTCCACATTTGACCTGACATTTCCCCTTTAGAAAATTAAGACTGTACTTTCAAATTCAGCTGAGTTGGATTTTGTTTGCAATTCAGGCTGCCTTGTTTTCAAAGGCATGAGGCTTCCTTCAGTTTCAGAAAACTCAGGAATGACCAACCTGTTGGGTGCTCAACAACTATGAAAATCAGCTTGATAGATTTAGCTCTTCAAAAATGGATTTAAGAAATTGGCAGGCATATTATTTTCCTGAGCAACCACTTCATTATTTTGAATGAGAGTCAGTATTACGTATTTTCTCAGGATAGACCTGATAATTTTAAGAAGTTACTTAGAAGTGCCCCTATAACCTGCTTTGTAATACTCAGTTTTTGTTGTACAGAAAAAGTGGAGTTGCCCCATTGTAAATTATTCTTTTAACTAATCAACAGATTTCTGTAAAATTCTTCTCAAGTTCCATGAAATTATGTAAAATAATAGTCAATAAGAAAATTATGTAATTCTCCCATAGCATTGAGCTCCATTCAGTTTCAAATAGCTTCCATTTCAAAAGCTATAGTAGTAGTGTGTGTGGTATATATATATTAAATAATATATGATAACAAGGCAGCCAGTCCCCATTAAAACTGAAACTGGATAGACCAATTTGCAGGACTAACAAATGGGATACACTAGAAAAAAATTTTTGGCCACTGTTTCAAAAAAAGAGAACCTTAAAACAAATACTATTTTGATTTTCAAGAGTGATGGACGTTTGCGGGCGTTACTACATAAGTGGCATTACTGAAAATCAAGGCTCTTACTTTTGCATGCTAAAATCAGTAAAAGTATGAGCTTCTATTTTTATTATTTTTGCTTTTGAAGTTAAATGATGTAAATGCATAGCATAGAATAAAAGCTAGTAGAGTTAAATCCAAGCTTTCAGGAGATGCTTGGATGGGGCTTTGAGCAACCTGGTCTACTGGAAGGCGTCCCTGCCCGTGGCAGGGGAGCTGGAACTAGATGATCTGTAAGGTCCCTTCCAATCCAAACCATTCTATGATATGCTTATTTAAATGGAAATTTTAAAACAATGAGTGAAAAGGTTATGGTGTTGCTTTCTGTATACAGAAGGTTAGCCTTATTGTGTATTTGGTCAAAGGAAACATATTTGTTGCTAGTTTTGATGTTGAGTTACTAATGATCTATCTGCTTCTTAGATTCTAACAGGTGAAGACTGGAATGCTGTTATGTATGATGGCATAATGGCATATGGTGGCCCATCATCGTCAGGCATGATAGTCTGTATATATTTCATTATCCTCTTCATCTGTGGTAACTGTATCCTTTGCATTCACTGGAAAAACCTGCAAATGGGGCTGCATGCCAGGGACATAAACAAAATTATTTTAGGAGGAAGTAAATTGCAGTGGATATGCAAGTGCTTCCTGCATGCACCAAAACCTTTATGTAGACTTTGTTCCCTAATGAGTGAGACCGCAGTGATCTCTGAGTCTATCTCCAACCACCACAATGGCAGAAACCAGAGAAATGTTATTTTCTTCCTTCAGCAGGAAAGCAGCCTTATTTTACCTGCTTGTCTCTGTTTGATTTCTTTGCCTCTGAAAATGCGTGGAATGTAGTCTGATCTCAGTGTCAGTAATTTCCCAGTCCTCTCTTTGATGCTTGATACAGCCCTGTTAATTCTGATATACACTGACAGTGGAGCCAGTGATCCACTGTATAGTGCAGGGACCAGATGAGAGAAATCTGCATGGAGAAATGCTGAGTTAGGATTAAGTCTGTCAAAGCATTCCCTTTTCCTGCCTTCAATGTACTGGAAATGCTTCCTTGGTCCCATGCAGCAATAGAAACTAGTGTAATTCTCAGAAATTGTAAAAGATCATGAGGTGATAAAAAGGCAAACCCATTCTATTTTCTGTACTATACAGTATTTAGATTGTGTACTTAACTAATATGGACTGAAGTACAGATTTTTATATAGACTGTTGTAGACACATAAGACAGTGCATTATAAAAACAAATTTCTGAAAATGCCTGAACCGTCTTCACTTTTAACAGACAATATTTCATATTTGAAACTTGCTCAGGCCAGCATAAAGTTAAATTTCATTGATTTAAACAAATGTCAAGTATTCTGCTATTTTAAAATTAGGATCTCTGCTCATTTTACACCCAGTATTAATCTAGTCCATTAAACGAGTGTTATTTGCGCTTCACTTAAGCATCACAAATCTCTATGCTGTAGGTCGGTAACATGCCTTTTATATCTCTCACATTGTCAGTGTTAATGCTGATAAAAACCAAACAAATATAGTAAGGCATAATGTCCTTAAAATGATTTGAAATAGATATCTTGCTAAATGTCTTCTTGGCCATTGCTGTGGATAACTTGGCAGATGCTGAAAGTCTAAATACAGCTCAGAAAGAAGAAGCTGAAGAAAAGGAAAGGAAAAAGAATGCCAGGTAAAATAGCATGGGCATGTCGAGTAAGCAGGAGAGGGAAGGAGGAGGGTACTGAATTCTTTCATAAGGATTTTCTTTACTGTTTATAAATGTCTTTACCTTCTTCAAAATTTATTAGACTCAGGAGAAAAAAAAAAAAAAACAACCAAAGAAAGGATTTACCTAGACATTGAAATAACACAAAATTAATATGATTTTAGATAAAAGTTGGGTAGTAATTCAGAAAATGGCGTGAATTAAGGACATACTGATAAGCCAACTGATATTCAAACATTGCAACAGCAGGATTTATTGTGCAATTAGAAAAAGAATGTATCTGTTGTTGCCAGTGAACAACTCCCTGTGGAATCAGTTCTCTAAGCCTTATATAGACAAGAAGAAAACCTTCCTTTGAAATCAGTGCAGGCCTATTGAAGTCAATGCCAGTTGTTTGTATGAATCCAAGGGCACAGTTTATCCCTGTAGAAAGGAGTAATGATCATATGGTGAATTTTTTAGGGATTAGCTTCTGGAATTCTACTCAAAATTATAATCTTTTAAATGGATCATTGCATTCAAATGCGATAGATTTTTATTGCTCTGACACCTGCAGCTGTGTAAATCATTTTGAATATTTAACTATGTGGTTTTAGGTATGCTGTCTTAACTTCTCATAGAATGAGTGTAGTTCAGTTAAAATCTTTTGTCTTTACATGTTGTGCTTTGTAATTGTTACTGTATTGTTTTGTAGAAAAGAGAGTCTGGAAAATAAAAAAAGTGAGAAGTCAGAAGGTGACCAGAAGAAGCCCAAGGATAGTAAGGTGTTTATTCTAAAAATTGTGTCTTTTCTAAGAAGCTGTTTTACAAATTTTGCTGGGAAGTATTTCAAGACTGTTGGGCATGGTACAATTTCTTTTATGAACCCATCATCCCTACATTTTCTGTGGGCTTTGCATCCTCACAGAATCTCTTAATCCACAAAATCCTTTTTGTTTCGGGATATTCTGAGAAGGGAAGCTCTTAAACCATGAAATAGTTAATGTGAGAAAAATCTGATGTTATTTTAGGATCCCTGTAGGTATTTTGCCTGATAAATCCAATGGAAGAGGTTAATGAATGATAAACTCTTAGTAGAATGTTCAAACATTCTTGGTAATTTTTACTAGAGCTTGTTGGTTATATTCTCGTTGTGATCTACACAGCCAGAATAATGTGGATACTATAGTAAAATAATCTTCTGAAAATAGGTATTAAACTGTCACCTCTCCTATGTTCTCAGAGTTACCCTGTTTCAGAAAACTCTGACTAACCATAGGTATCACTTCCCTTACTCTAGACTATTTGGTTTGCTTTCTGTTGAATTTTTTACTCAAAGGTACATGTAAATTTATTTTTCTTCTTGTGCAACCCTTTCATTGCTGTAGGTGACAATTACTGAATATGGAGAAGGAGAAGATGAGGATAAAGATCCCTATCCACCCTGTGATGTACCAGGTATGTGAATACCAGTCAGAAGACAAATGCGTTTAAGTTTGTACACTAAAATATCCTCAACTTGCTCATGCTGAACACCAAATCAATCTTTTGAAGTTGGTGAAGTTGTGCTCTATTATCAGTGGATAAATGGGCCTGCATGCTGCTAAGTATTATCTTTTCCTACAGGTTACTAGACAGTACAAACAACATATGAGAGCTAATACTGTGAGTCTGAAGACTGCTCTGGTAATACTATCTGGATGTGAGAGCAAATTCTAAACTTTTCTGAAACATTTGGCAAAGAAGGACATTCAAGGGTTGCTGACGTTCAATCAGTTTTGTCTTAACTTCTTCCAGTCCAGTGAACATACTTACCTAAAAATCAGTTCTGTCCAATTGCCTGGATATCTGTTAAAGAAATCCACCCTTTTGATTACTTGGTGCTCAGCCGGTGCACAGACGTCAGCATCATTACAACACAGCTCAGGCAGGGACTGATCATCAGGGGCTGAGATTAAGTGGGGCTCCAGAGCCATGTGCAGAGGGTGTGAGTGGAGTCCCCAGATGAGGCTGATCAAAGCCAATAAAGACTATTAGTTCACTCAGGGCATTTATGCGCATGCCCATGTGTATATAAGCCTGTGACAACTGTATGAATGTTCATATTTTCATGGGTATTCATATATTTTTAAAGCCATGATATGAATATACATTTCCTATAAGCCATGTGTATTTTAATACAAGCCATGGTTTTATATTTCATGAACAAAACCTCAATTTTTTTTTATTTTATAGTAAAAAAGTGTTTAATTTAAAGTAGGTGAAGATGAAGAAGATGAGGAGGATGAACCAGAGGTACCAGCAGGCCCACGTCCCCGTAGAATTTCAGAACTAAATATGAAGGAGAAGATCACACCGATCCCTGAAGGGAGTGCCTTCTTCATTTTCAGCAGCACCAATCCGTAAGCATAATTTTGAAAAATACTGGTTTAGTCTGTTAATGTTTAGCAGCAAAACAACAAGCCTTCTTCCAGTGAAGCTGGGAATAGAGCTCCAGTATCTTCAACAGGAGAGAGTCTGGCTTCTTTCCTAAAATTTTCTGAATTACTTGGTAAATGAAAAGAATTTGATAAATATATTAATTTACTTCCCACTGTTGAAGATAATAGCATTTTGTACATACAGTCTGTCAAGTCCGCACATGTCTGAAAAGTACCCTTTAATGTGTATTAGCTATTTAGTATGTTAGTCACTGGAGATAGAAGCTGTGGCATAAGATCTGAGCATCTTCTACGTGAGAGAGGATTCCTGGTAACCCTAATAACCTTTGTGAAGCAATACAGGTGAGGAAGAAGAGAAAATGAGAGGGAGAAAAAGAGAAAACAAGGATAAAAGATGCATGTATTCCTCTTGGGGTAACAGCATTTTCCTGGATTCAGACCAACACTGAAGATAAAGACAAATAATTTAAAAAATGAAGAACAGTAATAGTTGGATTCATTCACTGCTCCGTATAACTCCCGAGCATTTGAAGTTCTACACTGATGAAGAAAGCAAGCTTCAGTAGTCAGTTGTTACTGATGGTTGACTGGAAGTGAACTAAATTCAGTTCCTACAGACTGAACATAACTGTTACATTTATATATAGCAATTTCATGAGCATTCTTAGAAGGGAGCTTTAAAGTTATTTGGCATGGGAGAATTGCTGTCTTCTCAGTGGTAGAGATCATTACAATTAAGTTGAGAGGATGGGTGTGATGATCAAGATGCAATGTTTTGGGCTTGTGTCTTATTCACTGCATGGGCTGCCTGAAGCTCTTCAGAATTTTCAAACAACTGGGAAGAGAGCTATTTAAACCGACAGTTTTAAGAACATGTATGCTGAATGCAAAAACAGATTCATTGAACGTATCAAATTGCTTTTGGCCTCAACTAATGCTGCATATTCTCAGGACAAAGTTGCCATCTTACTTAGCTAAGATGCACTATACTCAAATCATCTACTTAATAACAGAACAAATCTTCCCCAGGAGCCTTCTGATTCTTCAACAGAGCTTAGCCAACTTCAGTGTCAGTTATGAACGTGATCCTGTGTTTTTCCCAATTTAATTCCAGACCTACTCTACCAAGATCCGCAATAGCATTTGTAATGACCTTGGGCTCAGTGATTCTGAGCATATTTACAGTTTCACTTGATGTTATGTGGCTGAAACTTAGCAGCTCTGTAATTTTCAACACCCCCTTCTCCTGTAATTCTCTAAAAAAATCTTCATATAAGATTCTGGTTTGGGTTGAGTTTTTAAGTAGCACAATGAAATCTGTAGCCTAAGCCACATCTCGCCAGATGAGTATTTTTGATAGTTTTAATAAGAATCAGATGAAAATGGAGATCTGAAATGACATCATCTATTATTGGTCCTTTATGTGCCCAGTGGAACAAACACTGGAACTTGTAGTAGCGTTCATAACCTGTTTCCAAGCTCCAGCAGGACCTTGAAAATCCTCTCTCAGATTCCTTCGATAAATTCATCTTCAGTACAATGGATTGGATTTTGAATTTATTTACATTTCTAGAAATCAGAGAAGTAGCTTCAGCATTTGCACTGCTTTTAGATGCTGATGGTTGCTCTATTCTATCACTGTTGGCAGAGTAACAGAAAGCATGTTGTATATTAGCCATCTACTGAATTCTGTTTGCACATATGGTATATTTTTGTATCTCTTCTTCAGAATTCGAGTGGGATGCCACAGACTCATCAATCACCACATCTTTACGAATCTCATCCTTGTCTTCATCATGCTGAGCAGTGTTTCCCTAGCAGCAGAAGATCCAATTCGAAGCCATTCTTTTAGAAATAATGTAAGTCCTTCATTTTTATGTCTGAATATATCCTCACAAGATAACAGTCCTTTGGGACTAGTGCCTGATTTTTAATTTTCAAGTTAAGAAACTTTCCTTTTCCTTTTTCAAGTGTGTTAGTGTATGGATTTTGTAATCTGTTCTTTCAAAGAGGCAAGTGTGGCCACACTAATGAGTTTGAGTACCACCACATCAGACCTGAAGATCCTTGGATTCCTGTTTGGCCATATGAGAAACTAAACAAGTTTTACTTCTTTTTAAACTCACATATAAGATGAGGATCAGAGCATGCCCAGCTCCTTGCTTGCAGTGAAATGCCATTTCAGCCTATAATGAATCAAAAAATTTGAAAATCTTTCTGCATCCTTTTTTAGATATACTTGTAGAAACAAAACGTTTGTAAGAATATTAATCTTAGAAATGTCTCTTTTATTCATTATAATTATAGTTTATGTGGTGAGTAAACATCTGTGTTCTAAAACAAATTCCTCAACCCCCCATTTTAAGTTCTTAATATAGTAGAAGACTTGACTGTTACTCAAATGCACAATTATGAGACAGAGAAGCAAAAATAAATCCACTCTCGTGACCACTAATGTATATCTTACAATTAGAATCATAGAATCAACTAGGTTGGAAAAGACCTTTAAGATCATCAAGTCCAACCTTTACTTGTTGCACTTAAATTAGTAGTGAAGCAAGCCACCCATGTTATTGTAAGTTGTGCATGCTTTAGATTAGGTATGAAATAGCAGAGACAATGCAACTTGGTAATAGTTTGGGGGGACTTCTGGGATACTTTGACAGAACTTCCAGGCCTCTCCTGTCTTAAATATAAATTGATCTGTAGAGATTGCCATGGAGTTAGAGAAACTCTTTCAGGAAAAATGGGCTTACTAGGTCAACAGAGGTCATATCCTTTCACTTTTTCCTAGTGTAGATGCAGCCTCTGAAACTACTCTTTGGTTCTTGACTTTCATCAAAGGTAGGAAGAGGTCAAAGCACAAAACCACTCTTCATATACTATTCAGTAGATCTCTATGCTGCCCATAACTATAAAACTGGACAAGTGCAGTCTTATGAATAAATCACAATGATGGATAAGAAAAAGAGCTGGTTTCTGAAATTTTTATTGTAGAAATGGTTTGAAGGGCTGGTAATTGTTTTTGGAACTAGAGGAGTGCCAGGAAAGTGAAACTGGAGAGTGGTGGTAAATGAAAGGGTTATTCCTATTTGGGGCATAGGTAAAATGCATGAGTGGTTTCAAGAAGGCAATGCCCTCTTGTTGTAAATATTCACAAATGCACTAGACCTGCATATTTTTCCTGTTACTACCTTGAATGATCATGTTCCTTCAACCAGCAAACTCAGCAAGAGAATGAAAGTTTACAAATGAATACCTTTATGTATTTTTTTTTTTTAACTCTAGAATGAATTTCTTACTGATTAATCTTTGTTGAATGGCTTTAACATTTGCCTGTTTTTTCAGCCACAGCAAGGGACAGAAGGATGTGATCTTCAACTGAACATGGGGAAAAAATTATTTCCTTTTATATAATGTAATTGGAATACTTTCTTTGTGTGTTGTCTCTTTGTTTTATTTCTCCTTCACATTTTATTAGTTGCTGAACTGAAGGAAACATGTTTCTGTGCACAAGTGTTTGCTAGTTGGATTGCTGGATCATTGAAACTAAACTAGTACCCTACTGCAGTGCATGTTGATCGCTAAATGCATTGTTGATCGCTAGTGATATGGCCACCTTGAAAGGGTAAAATCTTCATCGTACTGAAATATATGGCAGTGTTCCTGTCAACAGCAGTGAGGTCAATATTGCATCCAGAATCTGTTTAGAAGTTTGCATATCACTAGGCAACTATTGTGAGTTCTTTTTAAATTTCCAACAGACACGTCACTGCTGCATCTTCCAAGGTCAAGAAAAAGAGTAGTAGTGCTGGTTTTAAGTAATATATTATTCATTAATTTGCTTTGTGGCACTCCAGCCCAGTCTATACAGGAACAATGTAATGCAGGAGAATGGAGAATGATGTGTGATCTAGAAACATCCATTAAAGTTTTATTTTCTGATGCAATACTTTAGTAAAAAAAAAAAATAAAAATAGACTTCTTAATAAGTATTTATTCTTTGTGGAAGATTCTGTGTCTCTGCTAAAGGCTGAAGAAAGTACCTGTGAAAGCAAATAGATAAAAGTCTGAATTGAAAGAAAGTGTTACTTATTGGGTCCTGTTAACTCTTTAGGGGTGAAATCTAATGTCGAAGTACAGCAGCATCCAATAAATTTTTAAGTAAAGAAAAATGGTTGCACAGTAGCTGCAATTCTAAACTACTTTGTTGTCTAAATTCCCCATCTATGTACTTTGATTAATTCAGGTGGTGTTGTGCATGTGGTCTAAATTGTAAAAATTTATTAGAGATGGATTTCTCACTGTGGTACGTATTATACCTTGCAGATACTTGGTTACTTTGACTATGCTTTCACAGCCATCTTTACTGTTGAAATCCTGTTAAAGGTAATGCATTGTTAATTGACCCTTGTTAGCTCAAAAACAGCTTTAGCAATAATGTTTGTAACTTTTTGTTTACCTTCCAGATCCTAGGGTATGCAGATTATGTCTTCACTAGTATGTTTACATTTGAGATCATTTTGAAGGTAACAGGTTTTTAAAGGAAATTTGTCTGAAAGGATTTTCCTTGTGTGTCACCTGCCAAGAAAAGGCACTTGAAGTGTTCTTCGCCTTTTCTCTAAGCGATCAAAGCTAAACTTTTTAAACCAGAGGATTTTTCCATTTGACAATTCCTCATAGTTTTGATTGGTTGTTTTTTACCATTTGGGTGCATGAAGAAGCTGATTTTTTTATCATTACATCAATATAATAATTCATTTTTTTACCCTTTTTAAACTTACAGTTGTCAGAAAAGGGAAAAATAATTCACTGCGCATGAGCTTTTCCTTCTCCTTGCTCTGGCATTTTCAAAAGAGATAATCAGTCTTTTAAGGAGGGAGCATGTAATTTGTCATTTCTTTTGCTGAACTATATTCACAGAGCTAAAATAGTAGATAACTATTTTCTTGCAATAGGACTTGCAAGATATCTTGCATTTATCTATCTATATACTAAAATACTTTGCATTTACCTTGGGCATACATTTAAATACACAGAAAGGCATAAATATGCTTGCTTAAATGTATTACCCATGCATGAGTCAAAAATTGGCATTTTAATGTATAGTTTGTGTACTGATTATTAAGAATATTCATTGGGGTTACTCAGATTTTAGATGTATGAGGCTTCCTCTGGCAAAGAAACTATATAACTGAGGGTTAGGTTCACATGTAAGAAAATGCTAAACAAAGAAATAAAAATTTTTGATGGAAATTTGCAAAATATTTTTTCAGAGATTTACACATGATTCCTAAAGGTTTCATGCTGTGTATATTCATTGTGAGTTTCAGTTGAGTAACCCTGTTCTATACACTTAAAAATTTCTGGTGCACTAAGAATCTGTACATAAACTTTGCATTTCCAGTTGAGGATTAAGCTTAAAAAAATCTCTTCTCCCAGCTTTTGCTCATTTTGCTGTGCATACTCTTCACAATGCAATTTGATTAATACTAATTGATGCAATATTTGGGCTGTTTACAAGATAAGTTGTACTGTAAGTAATACACTATTTTTATGCTTGAGAATATTCTCCCCTTCTTATTTTCAGCAGGGAGGAGCTTGCTATAGGATTGAGTAATTTTAAAGCATTTGTAGCATTCTAATACAAATACCCATTTTTTTTGCTAGAGAAAGGCCAAACTAAAGGAAAGAATGAACCACTGAAAAGAACTGTAGCATTAGATCAACCTGATTCCCAAACTAGTTCCCAACTAGTTTGAAGCCATCCAAATATTACCAGTGTTTCTGTGGCAGAAGAGAGTTTGTAAACTTCTCAAGCTCCTGCACTTCCAAGTGTGTTTCTCTAGGAGACAGAGGAGTTATAAAACATGGCAGAAAGAGGCATAAATGAATGCGTTAAGAAAAGCAAAATACAAACTAACTGAAAGATATTCTGACACTGAGTGAGTCAACAGCTATCCAAGGGAAATAGGAAAATCTAGGGCTTGGGCTGCTGAAATCTGGCACTGTAAAATGTTATAAAGAATCAAGAAGCCCCATTGTAGCAAAGAATGTAGATGCTACTGACTCTACATTCTCCAGGAAGCCTCTGCCCTGCAGTGCGCTCACATGTGTTTAAAAGAAAAATAAGTAGTACCCTAAAAAACATAATGGACAAGCAGAACATGACAAATGTACATATGCAGTGCCTGCTTTACTAACGTGATCAGACACTGGCTTTGCTTGCTTATGGCTGGAGTCCTCCATATCTTCCAAGCTGGGCTTTGCGCTGTGCTTTCTACAGTATCTAAGTTGTACAGAATCCGTGTGTGTTCTGCAAGCAGTAAGTTCAAATCTAGACCTGCAGTAACAACACCATTCCTTAGTTTCCAGGCAAAAAGAATATGAAACTGAAATTAAGATAACCAGAGGCAGTATTAGCTGCAGCAAAGAAAGTCTTACATGTCAAAAAAATAATTATTAAAGCAGACTCTCTCTCCCTGTGCTCTCTCTGAATGACTGCTCTGCAAACATGATTTCCATGGTTTGGTGTCAAGTATATGAATGAGGATGAGAATAACAGAAGAGCTGCAATGTCAGTTTTAGGCATTTAAGAATTCTCTTATGTAATCCCTATGTGGTGTTGAAATCCAGCTTACCATCCTGTTTGCAATACTGGGGAAATGTGTAAACATCAGAGCAAATGTCAGGGTAGGGCCTTGTGCTTTTAACCTTGCCCCAGCTGTGCTAATCTCCCAGCCCATTTAAACCAGTCCCTTCTGGTGTGGGATTACAGGCAGGAAGAAAGGAGCAGCGCTGGTGGTGGCCCAGGTGCTCAGCTCAGTGAGTGTCCTGCAGCAGCTGCTCCTCTGTGTGACCGTGCTCACCACTGCAGAGCTGGCTTTGCTTTGGTCTTGATCGGTGGAAGGAGAGAATGATTTGCTATATAGAGCTGTAGGCAAATCCTGTTGACATCAGAAACTATTACCACATTTTCTGGTGTTACTTGAGCAGAATTTTTATCATTTAAGTGAAAGATTATTGTACATAGTGGGATTGTTTTATATCTCAATTGCTTTTCGAAAGTGAGATAATATTGTATACATTCACACTCTAGGCAAGTGTCTTGTAAACAGCCTAAATGTGAATTTGAATAAATTGAAATATAGACTAAATGTGTAACAATTCTATTTTTAGATGACAGCTTTCGGAGCATTCCTTCATAAAGGGTCCTTCTGCAGGAATTATTTTAATTTGCTGGATTTGCTGGTTGTGGGTGTTTCTCTGGTATCATTTGGTATTCAGTAAGTACTATACTTATAATGGGAATGATTTATTTTTGCTTAGGGGTTTTATTCTGAAATCAGTATTTCAGCTCCTTTGTTCCACACCTGTGTGGGTGTGCAGTATCAGTATTCAGGGTTGAGACTGGCAAGAGGTAGTGCTTCTATATAGAGAGTGTTGTAACTCACTACTCATATGGATTGGAAATAAATTACTACTTCCCACTATTACCAAGAGAACAAGGAAGAGCACCATTACACTGTATTGTATAGCAAGTAATTCTTGGAGCTTCAGGAGATTTATATACCCTCTTCTGTGCTATTGGCACATCTACAGTCTAGTTCTACAAGCTCTTTTTCAGCATTGACCTATTGGGATATCTAACTTGACAGTATTTGCTGTCAAAAGAGCCTGAAGGTGCTTATTGATTCACTAAGCAGTTGTGCCTCATGTAACATCTTCCGCAAAGCCCTTAGTGACTTAGAAAAGAGCAAGGACTGGGTGTCAGTCAGCTACTTCCTATTTTTGTATTCTGCAAGCTCTTTTTCAGCATTGACCTATTGGGATATCTAACTTGACAGTATTTGCTGTCAAAAGAGCCTGAAGGTGCTTATTGATTCACTAAGCAGTTGTGCCTCATGTAACATCTTCCGCAAAGCCCTTAGTGACTTAGAAAAGAGCAAGGACTGGGTGTCAGTCAGCTACTTCCTATTTTTGTATTCTGCTTATACTAGAATACCTATTCCAGAAACTTTCAGCCTCACATTGCTCTTTAAAAGGCTATTTCCTCAAAATGCAGTCCTAGCTACTTAAATAAAGAGGATGTGAGTCATTTGAGATCTTTTCATCTGCAGCTAGTTGAAAATTAAGGTATTCATTGATTTACAGGACTTGCCTAGTGTCTTCAAAAGAGCTTGTCAACACTGAAAAATACTTTGGAGACTATTTTGCTACTGACCAAACTTAATTACTTTACAGTGTCAGACAAGCTTCTGAGCTGTTAATTCCCAAATTGCTCCAGAAATCAAAATAATTCTTATGGTATTTATGAGAAAGATACTATTTTCTAATATTAATAAAGGATCGATAACAAAATACTTAAAAAACTTGTGTATGTGTGTATATATATAGAGAGAGATTTTTTGAAATTTCATGTATAAGATAAGTTGCAAGAACATTGTTATTCTTAGTAATAAAATCAGTTACGTTAAAAGTAACAGAATAACTTTTTTCCCTCCCCAGGTCAAGTGCTATCTCAGTTGTGAAGATCCTCAGAGTTTTAAGAGTCTTGAGGCCTCTAAGGGCAATAAACAGAGCAAAAGGACTTAAGGTGTTTATTTTTATTTTTTAAGTTATATTTCTGTTGACCTTGATTGTTCAGTCCTGCCTGAGGTTAAAAATTCTCGTGCAAGAAGAATTGCCTCAAGAAGTTCACAGGGCAATGACATTAACCAGTTTCTGATTCTTAAACTTACTGCATCAGGTTCTGCAGTTTATATGTGGAGGAACAGAAGTGCGCCTGAGAGCAGATTTTGACCATAATCCTTGCTGTGAAGCAAAGTGTTAGAACAGTGTTTGAATTGTTTTTCCATAGTATTTATGTAATTTTTAGTCAGTTGGTGTTGATGGGTCTGTGTTATAGACAAATCTGGAAAACACTTTTAGTTATGGTAATACTGACAACATAAAAACAGTAATTTAAAAAAATAATCGAAGTGTGATAAAATAGACTTCTATGATGTGTATTTTGAGATACTAAGAAGTTGTATTAAAATAACTTTTGTTTCTTTCTTTCCAGCATGTTGTTCAATGTGTCTTTGTGGCTATTAGAACTATTGGTAATATCATGATTGTTACAACTCTGCTGCAGTTCATGTTTGCTTGTATTGGAGTGCAGTTGTTCAAGGTAAGTAGACACTCAAAATTTACACTGCATCAAGAAAAGCAAAGCTGAGCCAAATTCTTGGTGGCTTGCTGCTAGAACTGGGTTCATCCCATTCTGAAACAATCATAGTATAAATGTATTGGTTTCTCTCATTCTGTGTTTTGTCATTGCTTTTTATTTTATATGTA